TGTTCAAGCCCGACTTAGATTGTCTGGTTGACATGGTAACCAAGAGATTACGAATGACTGATGGAGTGCTACCGTGTGAGGGAGATGCTGTGAAGGCCTGAGATAGTGTGTGTGTAACTCTGTAGCTGACCAAGATTTTGTCAGGAGCTCTGAAATTTAGACTATTGGCAGAGAATTTACCAAGTATATGATGCAAGATTTGTGCCTTGCAGTGTCCGCAGCTGAACGTGGGTGACTAGGGGCCACCTCCTTGGGCTTATGGCTACATCCTGCAGCACATGCACTGAAGTGGTGGGGAGGGCGGGAGTCATCAGGGTCGACCTTCATAGTGTGTTTGCTGTGTGCCAGGCCTGTGCTCAGGTAGGGACCATTAACAGTGGGAGAAGGAAATCAGAGAACCACACCCTCCTCAGTTGATTAAACAGCTATGATAACTGAGAATGGGTCCTCGCCCAGTACGAACTCAGCATGTAAGGGGTGGGCCATGGAGGTTGGAAAAGGTTCATATATGTGTCTTAGATGATATTAGCAGGGATTTCCCTAGTGCAGATTTGCCAGGACTGCAAAAGGGAGCTTGGAAACTCTAATTATTGTCATCCTACCACCCCTGCTCCTCTTCCCCTCCTCCATAGGACTCCCTGCATTTGTGGGTGACCATGCTCAGCTTTTCCAGGTCCTTCTGTTTGCTTATGACTGTTTACTATGTACCTGTTGTAGACTAACCTCTGGAGAGTGTGTCTCCAACATGCCCAACTTCTCTGTGAAAATGGACAGTACGGAGCTAGGGCCTGACAGGGAACAGGACTAGTAGATTGAACATGGGACCAACGGGCCGAGATGGGGAGTGTGGGACTGACTAGGCATTCTGATAAGAGGATTTAGCTAACTATCTGGAGGATACCCAGAGCAGGTAGAAGCTAAGCTGAGGCCTGAAGAACCAGGAGAAATCAATCAAGTCCAGAGGGATTTTACGACAAGAGGATCACCAGGGTTAGGACCCACACATGGCATGATTACGTTGCTGGACTCCCACATAGTTGATTGCTGTTCAAGTCTCAGACCTGGAAGCTTAAAACTTTAAAACTCACGCCAGGTGCGTGTTTGGGCATGTCCAAAATCCTGAGAGGAGAATGGAAGAGAAGGAATTTCAGCATAGCCATCCTCCCTGGGGGTCATTTCTCACTTTCTGCCTGTTTTGTTCTGTCTCTGCTGAGCATACATGTCCTGTTGCAAAAAGTCTCTCTAAAAAAGAAAAAAGAAAGAGCAAAAAAACAACAAACAAACCAAAAAAAACAGGGTCAAAGTCTATAGTGAATGGAGGTAACAAAGGTCAATGTCAAGAGACCCAAGTGCAGCTATACAGTAGAGTTAAGGGGCTAGAGCATAGCTTCACAAGAGCTTGCCAGCTACCACTGAAAAGTTTCAAGACAAGGTCTTCTTTGACTAATAATCCCTTCTCCCTTTGCTCAAAGCCACAGCTTTTCCTCTCTCCTCCTTTTTTTATCCAGGGTGGCTTCCTGAGTAGGAACTGTAAGCAGAGTGAGTGTCCAGACTAAAATGTAAGAGGAGGAGAAAGTAAAGAACTGTAAATACATGTAAGGGTGATGGATCAGAAAGGGAGAGGCCAGGTCTTTGAATAAAGGCTAGTGTATGACCAAAGCAAAGAGCTAAAGTCTCCAAGAAGTTACATTTTTTTATTTTCTTGACTATAAAAAAAAAAATAAAAGATCACTGTGGAAAGTAGAAAATGTAGAGAAAAGTAATAGTATAAAAATCCTTGGCAAGGGTGTGGAGAAATTGGAACCTTCATCCACATCTGGTGGGAATAGTAAATGATGCAGCCACTTTAGAAAACAGCCTTATAGTTCCTTTTCTTTCCTTTTTATAGAGAGATTTTTGCTACAGGGCACATGCACTCACCAGAGAGAAATCATCCCCCTAAGGGAGGAAGAGGTGGTGGTATAGAGTGCCACCGAATGAATGACCACCAAAGGCAGATTAAGGATAAAGGGGGTCTTTATTAGCTGGTCAGCGACTGCAGCCTGAGACTCGGGGACTGAGAGTCAGAACTATAGCGCCAGCGAAAGTTTGGGGTAGCCTTTCATAAGGGTCAGTTGCCAGATGTGCAGGATTCTCATGCATAGCTACAGAAGCTGAATCAAGTAGGTTAATTATTTCTGAGGGGACCGGGGTTTCCATGCAGGGTTACATCGCCAAACAAGGGTTTCAGGCTAGTTGGCAAAGGTGGTAGCACATATAAGATGTTGTCCCAGCTGCGGTTTTCTGTATGGCTCGCACAAGCTATTTCCTCATGGGAAGAGGAAGCAGGTTTATAGAAGCAGACAACCATGTTAAGATAAGGGAACAAAATAGATGAACAGTTGCTCATGTGTAAGATCTAATATGTGGCCTTCCTCAGTGGTGGCCATACTGCAATCCCTTCTCAGCTCCACTCTCCTCCCAGGATTTTGGGCGCGCACACACGTCCACCATGAGTTTCAAGCCTCTGGGTGCGGGATTCGAATTGCAATCTGCTATGTGGGAGTCCAGTGACATAACTATTACACCATCTGATGGTCCCTATTTTTTTTTTAAAGAGGTTTTGGTCATAGGGTGCATGCACTTGCTGGACAAAGAGAGAGACAGAGACAGTGAGAGAGAAAGTGAGCAATCACCCCTTAGGCGGGATGACACTGCAATCCCTTCCCCATTCTCTTCTTGAGCTCTTGGGCACATAGGCACACACACCTGGCATGAGTTTCAAGCCACCAAGTCTGGAACTCGAACCATGGTCAGCCATGTAGGAGTCCATGGACATAACCACTATGCCATCTGCTGGTCTCTGTCCTTGCAGTTTTTTTCTTTTCTTTCTTTTTTTTGGAGAGTTTTTTGCTATAAGGCACATTTGCTCACCAGAAAGAGAGAGAGAGAGAGCACGCGCAAGAAATCACCACCCCCCAGGGGGAATGGCCACAGTGCAATCCCTTCTCTCCCATTCTCCTCTAGGGGTCTTGGGCACATACAGACACATGCCCGGCCTGAGTTTAAGCCACCAGGTCCAGGACTTGAACTGCAGTTGACTACATGGAAGTCCAGCAACATAGCCATTATGCCAACTGCTGGTCCCCTTTTCTTCCTTTTTTAAACTGAGAAAAGGAGAGCACACTTTTTAAAATGTAGTATTATTTTTTCACCTGAGTGTTTCCAGAGAAAGGGAGAGGGAGAGGGAGAAAGCAAGCTACTAGGTCTGGGACTAGAGCTGTAGTCAGCCATGTGAATTCCAGTGCCTTAACCACCACACCACCTGCTGGCCCTTTTCTTTTTTTTTAAGAGAATCTTTTGTTGTAGGGTATATGCACTTGCCTGAGAAACGGAGAGACAGAAAGCAAGAAATCACCTCCCAGAGGGGATGGGCACACCACAGTCCTTTCTCCATTCTCTTGGGATTTGGGGCATGCATGCACGCACACCCAATGTGAGTTTTAAGCCACTGGGTCCAGAACTCAAACTGTGGTGACTGACTACATGGGAATTCAGTGATATAACCATTATGCCATCTGCTGGTCCCGAGGCCTTGCAGTTTTTTAAAAAGTTAAACATAATAGGCCAGCAGCTGATGTAGGAGTTACGGCACTAGACTCTCACATGGCTGACCATGGTTCAAGTCCTGGACCTGGTAGCTTGCTTTTTTACTTTCCCTTTCTCTGTCTCTCATTCATTCTCTCTCTCGTCAAATTAAAAAATAATGATAATAAAGTTAAATAATTATTTAAAATTTTTTTGAAGTTAAGCATATAGTTGTTGTATCACATAATAGCCAAAACCTTTCTACACTCACCTTCCTAGGGATGCTTTTGGGACCTCAGATAAGTGGCTTTCCTGAATTTCTGTCTCACACCCCCCCCAACCAAAAAATCTATAAAGCAAGCATAAGCTCCACCAGTTCATGGCCTGGCCTGACAATGGCAATCATCTCCACCTCTCTGTGCCCCCCCCACTTAGTTCCCATCACTGAGGAGCTGAGTCTGTTCCCCCCTAATGCTCTGTGCAGCTCCATCCCATTTTTCTGTGAGAGTGTATCTGCCCTTGACTGTCTGAAGGGGGAGAAGGCCAAGAGGAAAAGGAACTTTTATTGAAGGCCTGCATGTGCTGGCCAGTCTGCCAAATAACTTTGAGGAATGGTTTCATTTACTCCTCACAAAGCACTCTGAGGGCAGGACAACTGTTTCATAAAGGAGGAGGTAAGGAGCTGGAGAATGTACTGACTAGGCAAGGTCACACTGCCAAGAATGAGAGCAATGTCAGCAATCCTGATAAACATAACTACTCAACAGACCACCAGAGAACACAGATATTGACAGACTGAATTTTGGGGGAAAGAATTATGTAATTTTATTTATCGTTATTCATTATTATCCATTAGGAAAATGGAATAATTCAAAACCATGATACACTAAGAACCTTGTGGAACATAATCACAATGAGAAACTGATGAAGCTTTAAGTATACTTGAAAATGCTAACACATTCTTTATGATGATAGCAGAAAACAAGTACTTGAAAATATAACATCTGGGGGCTGGCAGGTAGCATGGTGGTTGGGGGTGCTGGACTCTCACATGACTAACCATGTTTTGTTTTGTTTTGTTTTGCTATAGGGCACGTGCGCTCACCGGAAAGACAGAGAGAGACAGAGAGACAGAAAGCGAGAAATCACCCCCTGGGGGATGGCCATGCCGCAATCCCTTCTCCTCTACTCTCCTCTCAGGATCTTGGGCACGCACGCACACGCACCCTGTGTGAGTTTAAGCCACCAGGTCCAGGACTCGAACCACAGTCGACTACATGGGAGTCCAACGACATAGCCATTACGCTAACTGCTGGTCCCAATGACTGACCACGTTTTGAGTCCTGGACCTGGCAGCATGCTTTCTCACTTTCCTTCTCTCTTTTTCTCTCTCTCTCAATCTATCCCTCTCTGGTCAAATTAAAATAAATAAATATCCCATTTGACTACCACATTTTCTCCTTATAATAGATCTTAGTGGCTATGCTTACAGGATAGATTAAAATTCCCATTATCGAATTATTACCTGTTGATAACATGTATAGTATTCTCAACTGGACTAGACTGAGAAGTTTTTCATGTTGGGTAAATTCCTTTTATAAGCCAAATGTTATATAGTGATTGAATGTTTTAAAAAAATTAGAATAAATAATAATAGTAATCTGGGGACCAGCAGTTGGCGTACTGGACTCCCATGTAGTTAACCGCGGTTCAAGTCCTGGACCTAGTGGCTTAAACTCACACCCGGCATGTGTGCGTGCATGAACAAGATCCCAAGAAAAGAATGGAGGAGAAGGAATTACAGGCATGCCCTTCTCCCCTGGGGGGGGGGTGATTTCTCAATTTTTGTCTCTCTGTGTCTTTCTATCTTTCTGGCAAGCGCACACAACCTATAGCAAAGACCTCTCCAAAAATAAATAAATAAATAAAGTAAATAATAATCTGAAAAAAAATTATGAAAAGCAGTTTGATGATGTCGATAGTAATGTCTTTGTCTTGACTGATATGAATGGTATGCATGCTGGAAAAAGAAATGTAATACATTGTAAAGATATGTGATTTAATGTAATATAAAAATTATGATAATAAATAAAATTAAATTAAAAAAGAAAGTTAAATGAAATAATTCTTTAAAAAAGAAAATATAACATCTGGAAATTACAAATTTGGCAACAGTTATAAGAAAATTATATTTACAGGTTCAGAAATCTCAATGAACTGGGAAATACCATCATCTCAAAGAAGTCCATGGCTAGATACATAAACTGCTAAAAAACAAAAACAAATCTTTAGTGCCAGTCCTGTCGAAGAATGGTTAAATGCTATGCATGGGAAGCCAGATCCCACATGGCAAACCATGCTTTGAGTCCCAGCTCCAGCAGCTTGAAAAAAACACTGAGCGTGTGTGCATGCACACCCATAATCTTAACAGAGAAAGAGGTGAAAAAAGATTGCAGCATGATCATGCCTCACTGTAGGGAGGTGCTTTCTCTCTCCCTCTCCTTCTCTGGAGAGCACATACACAGGCAGTAAAGAACAAAAAAAAATTTTTTTAAATTTTCAATCTTGAAAACAGCTTGAGAAAAACAATACATTAATGGGACCAGCAGTTAGTGTAATGGCTATGTCGCTGGACTCCCATGTAGTCAACTGCGGTTCGAGTCCCAGACTCGGTGGCTTAAACTCACACCAGGCGTGTGTGTGTGTGCATTCCCAAGATCCCCAGAGGAGAATGGAGAAGGGATTGTGGTGTGGCCATCCCCCCTCGGTGGTGATTTCTCGCTTTCTATCTCTCTATCTCGGTCTTTCTGGTGAGTGCACATGCCCTATAGCAAAAATCTCTCTCTGAAAAAAGAAAAAAACCACAATGCATTAAATTAACAAGAAAAGGGACAACCATGTCGTTTGGTGGTTAAGGCACAGGACTCCCACATGGCCAAAATCGGTTCAAGTCCCAGACCTGGTGGCTTCCTTTCTCTCTTTCTCTCTCTGATGAGCACACATGCCCTATAGCAAACTTAAGTAATGATAATAAATAAATACATTTTTTTTAATTAACAAGAAAATACAGGGCTAGCAGAGGGTAAAGTGGTGGATGGGGTTCTGGACTCCCACATGGCCAGCTGTGGTTCGATTCCCAAATCTAAGGCTTTAAAATCACGGTGGGTACCTGTGTGTGCATGCCCAAAATCCCAAAAGAAGGATGAAGAGGAAGGGATTGCTGCGTGGCCATCCACCCAAGGGGATCATTTCAAACTTTCTTTCTGTTTCACTGGGGAGTACATGCACCCTATAGCAAAAATGTCTTTCAAAAAATAAAACTATTTTGGGGACCAGCAGTTAGTGTAATGGCTATGTCACTGGACTCCCATGTAGTCGACCGTGGTTCGTGCCCCAGACCCGTTTGGCTTAAAACTCATGCGGGCGCATGTGCATGTGTGCCCAAGATCCCAAAAGGAGACTGGAGGAGAAGGGATTGTAGTGTGCCATCCCGTCTGTGGGGTGATTTCTCACTTACTGTCTCTCTGTCTCTCTCTGTCTGTCTGGCGAGCACATGCGCCCTATAGCAAAAATCTCTCCAAAAAAATAAAATAAAATAAATTATTTTTAAAAAAAGAAAAGAGCAAGAAGAAGAAAATACGAAAGATCATGGGGTTTTTTTCTCAGAAAGCATGGAGGCCAAAAAGCAAAAACATATTTAAAAAAAATTATTTTGGGGGGCCAGCAGTTAGTGTAATGGCTATGTTGCTGGACTCCCATGTAGTCAACTGCGGTTCGAATCCCAGACCCAGTGGCTTAAACTCATGCCGGGCGCATGTGCGTGCATGTTCAAGATCCCGAGAGGAGAATGGAGGACAGGGGATTGTGGCATGGCCATCCCCCTTGGGGGGTGATTTCTTGCTTTCTGTTCCTCTGTCTGTCTCTTTCTGGCGAGTGCACGCACCCTATAGCAAAAGCCTCTCAAAAAAAAAAAAAAATTATTTCGGGACCAGCAGATGACATAGTGGCAATGTCAATGGAGCCCCATGTAGTCCACCATGGTTCGAGTCCCAGACCTAGTGGCTTAAACTCACGGTTGGTGTGTGTGCGTGAGTGCCCAAGATCCCGAGAGTAGAAGGGAGTGCGGTATGACCATCCCCCGCAGAGGGGGAAATTTCTCGCTTTCTCTCTCTCTAACTCTGTCTTTCTGCTGAGCGCATGTGCCCTATAGCAAAATCCTCTAAAAAAAATTATTTAATTTTCCTTTTATTTTTATTTTTTTGTAGAGGTTTTTGCATTAGGGCATGTATGCTGCAGGTGGGGGAAACAGTAAGAAGAAAAGAGAAATCATCCTCCGGGGGAAATTGCCATTCTGCAATCCCTTCTCCATTCTCATCCCAGAATCTTAGAGACACATGCCCAGGTGCCTAGTGTGAGTTTCAAGCCACCTGGTTGGGACATCAATCATGTCAGCCATGTGGGAGTCTGGCGATGTAACTGCTGAGCCATCTGCTGTCCCCTCATTACTTATTTTTTAATAATTTGACTAGAAAAAGAGAGGGAAAGTGAGAAACCAAGCCACTAGGTTCAGGACTGGAATGGCCGTTGGCCATGTGGGAGTCCATCAGCTTATCTGCCATGCCACCTGTCTGCACCCTGAAATAACATTTTAACGTGCTAAAAATCCTGTCAACCCAGGGCCTCTTTAAAGCCTAGAGGTTAGAGGAAGTGGATTCCATATGGCTGACCTACCTTAGTGGGAACAGTCTATGGAGTGGTGGTGAAGGCGGTGGGTTCCTACATGACAGACTGAGTGGTTCGAGTCTGGGACACAGTAGCTGGAGGAACACTCAGGGCCAGTGTAGGTGCATGACCCAAATCCTGGAAGAGATTTCTCGCTTTCTGTCTCTCTGTCTATCTGGTGAGCGCACACGCCCTATAGCGAAAACCTCTCCAAAAAATAAAAAAAATTAAGAAAAGAAAAGGAAAGACACAAGCATCCGGGGCATTGAGACTGCTCAAAATTCCAACACGATGGCAAATTGGAGGAGGATTGGCGTAAACTCTGTCTCTCTTTAGCAAGCACAGGCATACGACAGTTTTTAAAAAAAAAAAAAAAATGCAACGCTTCTAAACTTCCTCCCTGTGGGGACTGAGGTCATCCAGGATACCCTAAGCTGAGTCTGGAGCTTCCAGCCACCTGCCCCGGGCTGCAGAGGTGCCTGGGGAGCAAGAGGCATCTCGGTGGCGGC